AGTTAAAAAAATGCTATCAAACCAGAGCTTCACCCAAATAAAAAAATTCTGCTACAATTTAACGTGGATGGTATATCAGTATTCAAATCAAATAATACTCAGTTTTAGCTTATTTTGGTTGAGTATTTCATGAAAAGATTTATACCAACCATTTGCACTTGAAATTTTAGAATCTTACGGGAAATCTTAAAATCTTATCGAATGTTTGACAAAGATCGTTAGCGATCTAAATTGTGTACTGGAATCAGGCTTACAGAATACAATTAAAAATTAGTATTATCTGTTTTATATGCGATACTCCAGGTCGAACTTTTTTAATGTACACTAAAGGTTATGGTGGCTACTATGTGCGAGAAATATGCGATGTTAAAGGAATGAGAAACGATAGACGAACTACTTATACTGATTTTGATGCTGTTATAAGAACAGACGAATCGTTTAGAAAAAAAAATCCACAAAATAATACAGGCACTAGTTCATCACAGAAAATTACGTCATTTATTAATATGGTCAAATGTTCCATTTTAGATTATATACATTTACGTTGCAATGGAATAAAATTTAAATTATTACAGGAGTATTGGATAAGTGGCACACGATAAATTCACTTGAATAAAAAATAACAGAAAGAGGTGAGTAGACAATCTATTACTATTAATAAAAAGTTGTATTTCTATGACGTTTCAAGGAAAGCCTAGAAGTCTCTCGTATGCAAACAAATTCAAGGATATCGAATTAAGAATCATTTTGATGTACTGCGGGCCTCTTATTTTACAGGATTTATTGCAACATAAGTTAGCTAATGTAACGAGTGTCGCTCGTTAAAATTAGATCCTAAGCGCTTCCATCGCGTGGGGCATAGAGTTCCAGCGTGACGGACATGAAAAAATATGTCGGACATATGTCCGTCACATGTCGGTCATATGTCCGAACGACTTATGACTGCGAATTTTATGTCAGATAACGAAAACACACGAACAAACCCGGCTCGCATCTAGACCTACATGCACCGACGTAAACGTTGTTGCGAAAGCCAAGGCGTTCTACTGAGAGTAATTCCTACCTGAGATCATCCTGCTTTCTTTTTAAACCTATTTTTTCTACCGAGAAGATTGTATTATAGTGCGCATTTACGATTTTTCATTCCGTGAGCTATTCTACTGGTAAGATTAAGGTATAATACAATATAGAAATGATGAGGTTAAGTACATAAAATATATATATATACAGGGTGACCCACTTTAATCGCTACACCTGGATTTTTCGAATTCCAAGACAGATAGGAAAAAATGGTTCAGACAAAATTGTAGGGGCCGAAGGGGGCCAAACAATGGTCCTAACAAATTTGACCTTGAACTTGACATTCAAGGTTATTTCAAGGTTAAGTGGTTTTTTTGAATAGGAACAACTATTTTTGACCCCGGATTCGGAAAGAGCGGAAAATTTCACGTTCAAAACCATATTGAGACATTTTTTTCACGGTCATTTCAAGGTCAAATCAAGGTCAAACTCCGAAAAATCCATTTTAAGTCGTTTTTCCACGAGTCACAGGCTTAAGTGGTTCAAACTGATCGTAGATTTAGTTACATCACTTAATTAAAGTAAGTCCCTTCGCCTCACACTGTACAGCGTGCTTGATTTAAGTGAGTCCCTTCGCCCCTACCTTGAAATACTGATTTCCGATTGTCGCACCACGATAATTACTGCAGCTTTCTCCTAAAAGTAACGTCGTGTCAATAATCTTTTTAGACTGATAGTCAACCATTTAAGAGCCAGCCATTAATTACTATTAAATTTAAATAGTAAAATGGTATCAAAAATATTAATAATTATAATATTCGCCTGTATGTGTTTGCGACTAAAAAAGAAAAACATTTGTCACACTTTATTAATTGTAAATTTTATAAAAAACTAATTTGATGCTTTTTGTAAAAAACAGAAATGTTGTATCTTTATTTATTTTTTCGAAAGTTATGAGAAAATTGAAGATATGAGCTGTAAATAATGTGATTGTTTAAAAAGAATAGTCATAACTTTCGAAACAATAAATATGCAAAATTTCTTTTTTGTACAAAAAGCATCAAAGCTTTTTTTTCTAGAATCAAACTATCAAAAATAATGTTTAATATTAAAAATGTGCGGAAAATATTAAAATCGGTCAGCAGTTCAGATATTATTACAAGAATCTTTGACTGAACAGAATTTATTTGTAAATGTGCTTTTAATGATTACATTATCAATATTAGTATTTTTTAAGTTTGAACGGAAATAATTCACAATATTTAAAATAAAAGCAAGTTTTGGTATTATGTGCAATTCAAATTAGAAATAATTTAATGATTATTACTTTATTATAAAACTTACAATTACAAAAGTGTGACAATCGGAACACTTGTGGCAAATACACTTAGTCAGATAAAGTTACCGTAATCTAGGAACATTTTTCTTTTTTGGTCGCGACCGTATACGGGTGAATATTATAATTATTGTTATTTTTTATACCATTTCACTATTCAAATTTAATAATAATTAATAGCTGCCTCTGAAATGGCTGACTACGCGCCCAACGAGATCGTTGACATGACGTTGGCTTTAGGAGAAAGCCGAAATAATTATCGTGCTGCGGCAAGAATTTATGCTGAACGCTATCAAGACAGACGACACCCCGAAGCTATGGCTATCAGACGTTTAACTCAAAGAGCTCGTGGTGGACACATGGTTCGTCAACGTGGGCGCCATCAATATGATGAAAATGATAATCGGGTTGTGACTATTCTGGCAATAATTCATCTTGACCCACAGATAAGCGCTCGTCGAGTCGAAAGGGAAATCGGTATTCCAAAAAGTACATTTTTAAGAATTATGAAGGTGCTTAGATATCATACATATCATATTACTCTGGTCCAAGAGCTACAGTTTGCTCATTTTCAACAGCGTATTGTGTTTTGCCAATGGGCTTTACAAATGATAGAAAATGATCCAGACTTTTTTAATTTTGTTCTTTTTTTCTGATGAGGCAAAATTTCAAAGTGATGGGGAATTGAATAGACATAATTGTCATTACTGGCCTGATGTTAATTCTCATTGGGTCAGAACTGTAAACCATCAAAGACGTTGGAGTATAATGGTATGGTGTGGGATTATTAATGGATATTTGATTGGCCCTTACTTTTTCGAAGAAAATGTTAATCAACACACGTATTTAACGCTAATAAGAGATGAACTACCTGTATTGATGGAAGATGTTGACTTAGAAACGCGACGGAGAATGTGGCTCCAGCAGGACGGCGCAGCACCACATTTCGCTCGAATTGTCAGGACTTTTTTGAATAATCAGTACGGTAACAGATGGATTGATCGAGGTGGTCCGGTTGAATGGCCTGCTTGCTCACCCGAGCTTACATCACCAGATTTTTACTTATGGGGGTATTTAAAAAATGCCGTTTTTGCGGAAAGGCCCACCACAAGATTAGACATGATAGACAGAATTCGTCCAGCTTGCGATGCCATTCCAAGGCAAACTTTGCTAAACACCGTTCGACACTTCCAAAGGCGTTTGACTATGTGCCTGGAAGCAAATGGTCGTAATTTCGAACATTTGCTTCGAGGCTAGATAAACACATAAGTGAGAGGCGAAGGGACTCACTTAAATCAAGCACACCGAACAGTGAGAGGCACGGGGACTCACTTAAATCAAGCACCCTGAACAGTGAGAGACGAAGGGACTCACTTAAATCAAGCACCCTGAACAGTGAGAGACGAAGGGACTCACTTAAATCAAGCACCCTGAACAGTGAGAGGCACGGGGACTCACTTAAATCAAGCACCCCGAACAGTGAGAGACGAAGGGACTCACTTTAATTAAGCACCCTGAACAGTGAGAGGCCGGGGACTCACTCAAGCACCCCAAAGGAAACAGTCCTTACTACGTCCACGTCGTTGTTTCTGGGTAGCGCTAAACGTAAGGTTGACACATTTACAACAAAAGCTTCAATGATCATGAAGTATCCGTTAAACAAACATCATACATGGGATAGAGATGTGTGGGACTGGGGGATGTCTGGTGTAACAGTTTAGTATGTGAGGCTATGAAGAGAATGGGGTTCGGATGTGCAAGTTCGATTTTTGTTTACTAGGATGTGAATGTTTTGGGTATATGGGTTTCCGTTTTAAATCAACGATCAATTTGAACCACTTAAGCCTGTGACTCGTGGAAAAACGACTTAAAATGGATTTTTTGGAGTTTGACATTGATTTGACTTTGAAATGACCGTGAAAAAAAAATGTCTCAATATGGTTTTGAACGTGAAATTTTCCGCTCTTTCCGAATCCGGGGTCAAAAATAGGTGTTCCTATTCAAAAAAACCACTTGACCTTGAAATAACCTTCAAGGTCAAGTTCAAGGTCAAATTTGATAGACTCATTGTTTGGCCCCTTTCGTCCCCTACAACTTTTGTCTGAACCATTTTTTCCTATCTGTCTTGGAATTCGAAAAATCCAGGTGTAGCGATTAAAATGGGTCACCCTGTATATATATATATATATATATATATATATATATATATATATATATATATATATATATATAGATTATTTGACTATTTCAGGTCTCAGCTATCTTAGCAAGAGACATGAAGTTGCGAAAAGTGGCCTTAAAACATTTTACCTTGAAACCTAAGCCACCAAACCAAAAATTGGAATCTTATGGTTGTAATTATTGCATACAAGTTTATGTTTGTCATACGACGCGGATGATCGATCATTTGCTCGAGTGCAAAGCATGCCCGCCCCACGTTGTAACTTTATTAAAAGAACACCAACAAAAACAGGGATGAAAATCAAAAAAACGAAAGTTGATTACAAACACCTCAAAATCAGCTGCAGCAAATTCCATCAGCAGTGAGTCATGTTTAGACTCAGAAAATGAAAATAATTCTACCGATTCTACAGCTGTTCCAAAGAAGAAAATAGGTGCACCAATTTCCGAATTTTTTGACAATATGACAAAAAGCGAACAAAAAATTTGTTCGAATCTTTTAGCTAAAGCCATTTACACTGGAGGTACATATAAAAATTTAGCAATTTTGTGATATTAAAAAAAAAGTTCCAATGTTACTTGACTGCTGTTTTTTTTTAGGCGTGTCATTCATATTTCTAGAAAATGAATATTTGAATTTCTCGCGCGTTTGCGCCCAAAATTTGTTTACCCAACGCGTCATCAAATTTCTGGACCTTTGCTCGATAAAATTCATGATGAAGTTCAAGTTGAAGTGAACAAAAAAATTGAGAATGCTTCATCGCTAACAATCCAATCTGATTCGTATTCAACTACTACAAACGAAGGCATTATCAATTTTATCGTCAACACACCAGATCCTGTGCTTTACAAGCACATTGACACTAAAGATGCTTCGCAAACAGGCGAGTATTTCTGTGATGCATTGTCTTCTGTCATTGACGAAGTTGGCGCAGAAAAAACGCTCGCTGCTATTACAGATAACGCGTCTTATTGCAGAAGAGCATGGAAGTTACTAGAATTAAGATATGCATTAGAGCAAATTTTTGGCTATGGATGTTTCGCTCACATCTTGAATTTATTTTGTCAAGACACTATCCAGACACCATCTGCAAAATCAATATTAGACGAAGCAGTGCTGATTGTAAAATCAACCAAACATTCGCACATATTAGGAGCAGCTTTAAAAGACATTCAGAACTCTTCAAATGGAGAAGAAGGAGCAAGGAGAGTGACAAAAACTCTGAAATTACCTGGAAAAACTAGATGGGGTTCATCTCTAGAATGTCTTGAGAGCGTCAATGATAATTGTTTCAATTTGAAACAATTAGCCATTTCTAATTGTAAGTACAGCGACCGATTAAGTAGAGAAGTGACAGATTTGATCCTTTATGACATATTTTGGCAAAAGGTTACCAAGTTAATCGCCTTGCTTAAACCAATAGTTACTTGGTTGAAAAAAATTGAAGGTGATCAATCAATGTTTTACGAAGTAGTAAATGTGTTCGAGGATCTCGAAAGCGTCTTGAATAAAGAGCTATTCGATACATCACTTTCAATTTTCAACTATGATGAAGCACAAAAATTGTCGGATTGTTTGCAATCTCGTGCTACAATGGTGTTAACTCCACTCCACTATGCAGCGAATATTTTAAATCCATTATCAAGAGGGAAACACTTAACCCGTTAACGTCCACAGGACACATTTTTTAAGTTTGAGTTTGAATTGTTACCTCGCAATGAATTCGAACTCAAATAACTTAAAACTAACCGTACCCTATGTTTTCGAGGATGCTCTTTCGAATGGTGGTGATCAGAAGTTGAAAAAAAGATTTCTAACCTCTAAAAAATCAAAATTAAAAAAAAACGTGATTTTGAAAAAAAAAATTTTTTTTTAAACTGATTTTCTGGAGCCTATACATTTTTGTATCGGTCTAAAACCGGTTGGAAAGGTGTCCTCGATATCTGAACTAAATGTTAGGATGATGACATTTATTTGAATAATTTTTCATCTAAGCAAAATGGCGGCCGAAATAAAAAAATTTTGTTCTAAACTTGATTTTTTTCTCAGAAAGTATAGGTGTTAGCAAAAAATTTATAAGAATAAAAATATCTTAAAATCGGTTAAGAAATACTCTTAAATTTTTTCAAAACGTTTTGAAACAATTTTTGATTTTTGAAAAATTCAAAAAAATGAAGTTTCAAAAAAGTTGAAAAAACATTTTGAAAAAATTCAAGAGCATTCCCTGATTAATTCTAAGATATTTTTGTTCTAATAAATTTTTAGTTAAACTGCATAGTTTTGAAGAAAAAATTACGTGAATTTGTAAAAAAGCACTTCTTATTTGTATAGTTGGATACAATTTAATCTTCATGCATTTCAAATCAGTTGTTTAAATTATTATTTTGATAATTAACTGTCAACGTATTGTCAGCTTCACATAATATTATACTACTTTCAGAAAATATATAAAAGAATCTTTGTATAAAATGTAAAAATATGTTATCTTTACACTAAGTAGTTTGATGATTACTAAAGCTCTAAAAATTTTTTTTATTTCTTCATTGAGTTCGGAAACAATTTTTAGTTGTTTAGATAACTTAAATAATAATTTTTTATTGCATTATTACATATTCTTATAAGAAAATAGTAGAATTATTTTATTGTGAAGTCGGAAAAATGCCACCCAAAAAACGATCAAAAAATTCTGATCAACAATATGATATTGAAACCGAAGAAAATGACGAGAATTTTGATGTCATTATGATTCCCAGTTTAGACGATTCTCAAGATTCTGAGTCTGATTCAAATTCAGAAAATGGAAATGATCACATTGATGTATGCTCATTCCTTGAAAATCTTATACCTACTACTTTATACAATCAAGTTCTTGATAGCTACTCGGAAAATCAAAAGAAGTTAGAACCAAACCATGTTTATGAGTGGTTAGATGGCGAAAAAGTTTACGGGGAAAAGTTAACAAGTGAAGTTTTTCTTTCAGAATCTGATCGTAAAAAGATCCTCGATTATTCTCTGACTGATTTGTTTGAATTATTTTTTTCTGATGAATTAAAGGCATTTATAGTAGAAGCAACAGTATGCAATAGTGGTGATCTTACTCTACAAGACTTGAACACATTTATAGGAATTATTATTTTATCGATCTTTAATTCAAGAAAAAGTCAGAGAGATTACTGGTCAAATAATCCTTTTCTAGTCTGCAAATTAGTAAAATTAGCCATGAGTCGTCAAAAATTTGAAAAAATAAAATCAGAAATAAAGCTATCAAAAAATGAAGACAAAAATGCAAATGATAGAGCTTGGCGTATACGAGGTGTGATCAAAAAGTAAGGTGAATTTTTATTTTTCTCAAAAAATATTTATTTATTCATCAATTTTTATTTTATCTCCTTCAAAGTAATCCCCCTCGGATATAATGCACTTGTGCCAACGCTTTTTCCAATCCTCAAAGCATTTCAAAAAATCATTTTTTGTGATCTTGTTTAGTTCATCCTTCGATGCCGTCTTTATCTCCTCAATCGTGGCAAAACGCCGTCCTTTCATGGGCCTCTTCAGTTTTGGGAACAAGAAGAAGTCATAGGGGGCCAGATCTGGGGAATACGGTGCCTGTGGCATCGTTACTGTGTTGGTTTTAGCCAAAAATTCGCGCACAAGCAACGATGTGTGAGCAGGGGCGTTATCATGGTGCAAAAGCCAATTTTTATTTTTCCACAAATTCGGACGTTTCTGGCGGATTGCTTCGCGCAAATTGCGCATAAATTGCAGGTAATATTCCTTATTTACTGTTCTACCCTGTGGCAAGAACTCATATGCACCACGCCCCTGCAGTCAAAGAAAACTGTAAGCAAAACCTTTACATTTGATCGAACTTGGCGTGCTTTTTTTGGTCTTGGTGATCCAGAATGCCTCCACTGGGACGATTGAGTCTTAGTCTCAACGTCATAACCGTATTCCCATGTTTCGTCACCTGTTATAACCCTGTTGAGTAAATCTGGATCATCGTTGACGTCATTCAGTAGCTCTTGGGCGATGCTCATGCGACGTTTCTTTTGGTCGAAATTGAGCAATTTCGGAACAAACTTCGCTGACACACGTCTCATGTCTAAAACACTCGTCAAAATTGATTGGCACGAACCAAATGAGATGCCAATATCATCAGCAATTTCTCTAATGGTAATTCGACGATTTCCCAACACTATTTTCTTCACTTCTTCAACATTCTCATCAGTTGTTGATGTGCTGGGGCGTCCAGTACGAGGTTCGTCGTCGGTGTCTTCTCGGCCTTCTTGGAAGAGTTTATACCACTTGTAAACATTTTTTTGCTTAAAGTAGACTCACCGTATGCCACTTTCAGCATTTCAAGTGTTTTGGAACATTTGATTCCATTTTTCACACAAAATTTAATGCAAACTCTTTGATCCATGTTTTTAGACAGCAGCAAATCGTGGAGCACGCAAAACACTTCTAACCTTGATGCCTCTCACAAACAAACCAAACATACTACAAAGCTGAAATTTGGAACGTATGTTCTAGACGAGTGTACCGACATAACCAAATAAAAAAGTCGAAGATCGAACGGACGTAGCCCGCTAAATTTCAAAATTCACCTTACTTTTTGATCACACCTCGTACGTGTTCCTTTAGATATTTTTCGAAAAAACTGCCAAAAATTTGCGATTTTTTCCACAGCTTTATCAATTGATGAATGTATGATCAAATTTTATGGTAGGACAGTCTTGAAGCAGTTTATGAAAGGTAAACCTGTACGTTTTGGTTTGAAACTGTGGGCTATTTGCAATAAAGAAGGATTTATTTTTGATTTTGATATATATTGTGGGAAAGGATCAAACCATCTCCCTTCGAAGCAGTTAGAGAATTTAAGAAATTGTGCTTTGGGTAGCCGCGTTGTTCTACAAATGCTCCAGAGGCTCCTAACAACTGTGTCACCAAGAAAGATCAGTTGTTGTCATATTTATTTCGATAACTTTTTCAGTTCACCAGATTTTTTCGTTCATCTACGAAAAATTGGTCTTCGAGCTACAGGTACTGTGAGAGCAAATAAAGTAAGCGGAGTCACTATTGATCTTAATAATAAATCAAAGAGAGGAACATATTTTGTGAAACATGACAAAAATAGTGGTGTCAACTACATATCAGTCATGGACTCTAAAATTGTCTCATTGCTCTCGACGGCTGCTGGCATTATTCCATTGTCTTCAGCAAAACGATATTCTAAAGATGAACATGGTAAAGTTGAAATACCTTGTCCTTATGCTATCAATTTGTACAACAATTTTATGGATGGAGTAGACCAACATGATTATTACTGCAGCAGTCTGTTGCCGTGTATTAGGTCGAAAAAGTGGACTTGGGTAGTTTTAATGAGAATTATTCAAGGATCAATTACAAATGCCGCCGTACTCAAGAATTTGGTGTGTGGTAAAAAAGTTGTAACCATAAAAGACATTGCACTAGCTGTAGCATCAAAATACTTGAATGAAACCAATAATCGACAATCTCACACACACGAAAAAGTCATGGCAAAAAAGAAATGTTTCAACTTCACAAAATGTTCTAAAAGAACACAACAATTTTGCGTTGATTGCCAAAAATATTTTTGTTCTACATGTTTCCTTGATTTTCATAAATAATTTTATAAGTTTCAATTAAATCTAGTTATCAGATTTTATCCAAAACATTTAAGTATAAAAAAAATTTGAATAAGGCGAGAAACAAAAAAAAATAAAAAAAAAAGTAAAAAAACAAGGCAAAAAACAAAAAAAAAGAAAATGTCTCTTTCTATTGTCGACCTCCCCGTGGTAAGAGATGGACAATGGTGATGTACAATCGCCGGCTAACAGGCATAACAATTATAACGGGGTTCCTGCTCAGCTTCGCTCGAGCGGGACACGCTATATAAAAGTAACCGCGGAAAAGTAGATGAATGGCTCTCCAGAGCAGATCGGCACTCCTGCACCGAACGTCCTGGGTCCAGCAGCTCAGTTGCCTCCTTCTCGAGTCGAAAACTTGGCCCGCGGAGAGTGTCGTAAGCTTTCGTATGACAAGGTGCGACAGCCAAGGAGAAGCTAAAGCGCATAATCGCATATACGACTAGGAATCGAGGGAAAATGACACATAGCAAAGGAGTGAATTGAATTCATTTATTCATAACACAAGCATAGAATAGCGTAGTTCGCGCGCAGTACAAATAGCAGCGTGGATAGCCTCGCGTCAGATTTCAGTGCAGTCGACGAGCTGCGCACACGCTACGCAGCGAGGACTTGCACGCGCACGCCCTGTTAAGAGCGGCTAGGCACAATGGCGACGGCCAACCGGCGCGCACCATTCGAACGAGAAAGCGACATCGCTTACTCGTGTCGGCTCTTTAGCCGGTCGAAATGTCCCGGTCACTCGACTTAGATGAAAACGGCACCGCACTTGCTCGTTGTAAATTGGACGAGGCGACAATACGCGTATAACGGAAGCCTATTCGTAGGCCGAACGAAAACAGAAAAGAAATAAGCAACTATGCGGTAAGGTATCAACAAGGATACGCAATTTAAGCAACGCAGGAGGAGAGAGCCATAGAGAGAGAAGCCAAGTTAACAGACTGGTACTTACAATGCTAGAACTGACGAGTCGCTCTACAGTAGATTCGCAAGTAGTTC